ACCGCTTACCAAATTAAAGTTTGGTAGGTAATTAATAATGAATTGTTCTTGGCTATTTGCTGTTTACAACAGATTGACCAAACTATAGTTAAAATAAAATAGGAAAGGATAGTAACTGACTGTACTTATTAGTAAGTTTTTGGTATATATGAATAATAACGGAGTTTTTACTTTGCCAATTACCAGTCGGAAGAAAAAAAAATGTCTGCTGGCAATAAAGATTATTTTCCATAATTTTAAAGGCATCAAAAATTTAACTTTCAGTTGAGACGTGATAAAAATGATATTTACTTGGTAGGTACTTATATTTCATGAAGATTGTATACTTAAGGAGAGGATGACTTTACGTCATTTTGGTGAGGTCTAATAGTCTTTTCAAATTTCCCACCCTATTTGCATATAATATGGTAATCGTTCCATTGTGAAATTGTCTGTAGATATAATTAATCAAAAGTATAAATTTCGTGGCTACCTCGTCGACTGCATTGCTTGCGTTTATTCATATAGGTACGATGCTCATCACTTATGATTCATCTGTGAATACCAAAGGTAACGCGTTTTTTACATCGTATCGCTGTTAATTGAACTGAATATATTATAATATTGTTTGACGTTTGTTTCTTGTAACGACATAATGGTTTAGTTGAAAAAGAAATACTGCTTAGTGTTTATACTCCGCGAAAAGTTAGGTTCTGCATTCTGGAAACCACATGCATCGATTATTTATTATTAAGCTCTCTTATGGCCCTATGTAGATGATATAAATAGAATATTGTAATGTTTCATTCGTGCCAATAATATTTATTGAAGTGAATATGAATAACTATTTATCCTTACAAGTTACGAGAAACATGAGAATAATATAGATGACACGATTATACATTTTACATTGATATACCACTTCTGGCTCGGGAGAAGGGTGAGGCGTGGAAATTATGTGGCTCACAAATATAGGTACAATAGGTACTCGTATTGTTGGATTTCGTTTTACTGCTATCATTAATAATGTGAGAAACAATTATTTAATCAAATCAATAGGAAGAAATTATTTTAAAAAAAGTTATTCTTCCTTACTTTTTTTGTTTGCAAAACGGAATATAATTTGTTGTATGATGACTATAACATATGTCATTCGATTTCTCTCTCTCCTCTATATTTTAGAGTTATATTTTAAAATTATTATAGGTATAAAAACTACCTATAAAATATAAATCATATAATGCACCTTAATTTAATATATGTATGTAACGTAACCTAACGGTTATTCTATAATACATGTATTAAAAAAACAAACCACTAGATTGAGCTGTATTAAAGATTTAAATTTTACTTTAAATTGAAATTAATTATTTACATTTATTTTAGGATTCTAAATTACCTACTATGCTGTTTTTGGTAACGACGATTGATCGAATAAATGAAATATCAAATTACGTTATCATTATAAATTATAGTAAGTACTTTATTAAAACAAATATTATAATACTTTATATATTATGCAAATTAATCATCTAATTGATAATATAGATTTTTGAAAGTTCTTTGTAAAAATAAATCTTCTTTTTAAAACATTATACATTTTTAAATTATAATACCCGTTTAATATTGTTTATGTATCTTCATTTTATTGTTTTTGACTTATGTACTAATATGTATTTTAATAAAATATTTGCCTTGTAAAATAAATGTATATTTTCATTGATTATTTGCATACAATTGTATTGTGGTTTTTAAAAATTCTTGCAAATTGAATTAATTTTTTTAAATATACACACGTAGTTTAGTTTCGACATTAAATAGTTAGATAAATAACTTTAATTTTGTGATTTAGGTTTTTTATAACTTTAAACTACAAGCGTACAAGTATCTACTATTCCGATCAACTTAACCTAACTTTACAACTTTATAATTCATTTAATATTCATAATATAATAATTATTTATAGGAATATATACACACTAGCTAGTTAGAATTAGTTACAAATTATAATGTAATAGAAAAATGTACTTTAAAAATAATATCTTAAATGTCTTTTTGTATAGTTCTTACATTTAATATAAATAATTGTATTAATTTAACCTTGTGTTATACGTCAGAGGAAAATGGTTAAGAACAACTTTTGGCATCAACCAAGGGCATTTATATAGAACTATATTTAAGGGGGAGACATGCTTAAATATATTGTTATAATATTAATATATTATTATTTACGTAAATATAGGTAGGTACTTTGTGATTTGTGTGACTTTTGATTCTAAATTGTTTAAAATATTATATATTTTAATGATGGGAATTATAAATAAGAACTTTACACTTTAATGTGGTTTAGGTCTATTGAATGTACGTATTTAATTTAAATACTCTATAATCTATATCAATATAATAATAATAATTATTATTTAAATATTGTTACGTAACTTATTATAAAATCAGTTAACCACTATATCACCTATTATTGTATTGAGTTTTCCATACATCCTCATGCATGTTCATAGTAATAGCTAATTTAATTATTTTAGATGAATACATCTGATAATAATATATATATTACACTTATGATTTAATGTTTATTGTCAATTATGAATATTATTTATAATAATATAATTTTGATTTTTCATGAATAGTAGACATAGATAAGTTGAATTCCATTATTATTATGTAGATAGTTACATGTTTTTCTAAATACATACGTATATAAATATTATGTATTGAATTATATTTAAGAATCATTATCCTTCTTTTTTAGACATATCAAATATTACTGCTGGAGTTGCACAGCCGCACAGGATGTGGCATCCTCTTTCCAGCTCTATATAATAACTAATAGGTATATTTTATAAATCTGACCAATTTACCTTTTCTAATTATGAGGTTATTATATTAGTTAATTTATAATGATCATACTGCTTTTTTAAATCTCTCAAATCACCTTAACACACGCAATTATGTCAAATATGATACAAAAAATGGTGCTTCAATTAAGTAAATCAATCAAAATTTTCACATACAAAAAATTTATTTTGTGTCTTTTAACTTACCTTGATACGTCGTTTTGATTGATCACAAAAAAATTTCCATCAGAAATTAAATAAATATTTAAAAAAATATAGAAATCAATCATTTAATTGTAAATTGTGAGCTACAGCTATGAATTAATAATGATCGATTATCCTATTTTTATAATTGCTACTCATTTCTTTCAATCATAACTCTTCCTTCTATAAAGTCTTTGTACTTTATTTTAATTTTTATAAAATAATCTGATATACTGTTCAATTTGCATTTTTTGAAGAAATTTATTTTTAAGTGATTCAATATTAAAGTATTTTCAAATTTTAAGATGGCAGATATTTAATATAGTTAAAAAATTAATTATTATGTCAACCCTTGTAAAATTATTTGTTCTTGTAATATTTTTTTTTTAAATATGTATTATAATTTTATAATAAGAAAGGGTTTTTCATATTTCTATGATTCGTTCGTCCAATTTAAGTATTTTCACAATAGTTCATATTAGGTGTTAAAATATCTTGATTTGGTTGTATAATTAGTGATCATTAAGCCGATAAAAGCTTGTTAAAAATAATGAGTACGAAGCTAAGGGTAGTTATCATTCGGGATTAAAGAGGAAATTCAGATTTAGTTAGGTACCGCTGTTGAAGCCCAGTGCTTGTTTTAATACAAATGCGTAAAATGTAAAAAACATCCTTAAATTACTATTTGTGAAAAGTGATTTTAAATGGTATTTATAGTAGTTAGTTTAAAATTAGCTAAAATTGTTTTTTCAAATTAAGAACAATAACTTATTTTCAATTTATTAGGGAGTAATCTAAAAGTCGAAGGAATATAATTATTACTGTACTTGTTGTAAAGCATGTATCTATAAAATAATTAACCATGTGCCATAAAAATTTGAGTGAAAATCGGTTACAATAGGTATTAATTTAACTGTTATTATGTATTATTAATTAGCGTTATCGTGAAAGATACCAATTACCTACACACTCTTTTAAAAAAAAATCAAAAGAAACTTAAGATTTGACAAGATTTAAAATAAAAACTATAAGCGTGTTAAATATCTTAAATGCCACGAATTAGTCATAGTAGAATCATCTGGGTAGGTACTTATCTTCTGTATAATATTATTATCTTTTCCTCCCAATCATTAAAATACTTGGATCTAATTTTTGCGACCATTGTCTTATCTGGTCACATTACATTAGAACCAAAATACTAGCTTTAAATACATAATACAATATGCTTAAAAGTTAAAATAATAAATATTAATTTTTCATAACAAATTAAATAAAAACTCAAAAAATCTTTGAATTAATGTACTAAGTTTAGACAACGTGAGTATGACTTACTAAATCCTGAAGCAATGTCAAAACATTAAAATTAATGTTCACAAAATTAAATTTTTTTAAAATACTGCAGTTATTCGTAAAATATGCACTAATGTCCCAGCGTATAATATATCTAATATAACGATCTATACAGATTTAAAAATTAAAAGAGTAAACGAAGAAGCAGTAACTTTTTATAACAGATTCCATTGTATACTATTAGTCACAATAAACATTTCAGGAGGCCCACCAAGATGACTTAAAGTTGAATTATTACCATAATCTGCTATAAACAGAAAAAAACATAACCATTTAATAAAAACAAATGAAGTTTCACGTTTTATTAATCAGCATACTATTATATTTGTATTTATTTATCACGTATATAGTTTATCGTGCTTTATTAAATTGCAGAGTAAAAATTGTGTTTAATCTTTAAAAATAATTATATAAATAATAAAAAATTATAAATATAAAAATTATGTGAATATGATGGCATATGAAATTAGCACTGAATTACGATGTGGTGATACCCTATATATAAAGTTAACACAATACTATACCGTGCATATAGGTAGGTACGTTTAATTTAATTAAATATATGAATGCTAATCGATAACAGGCAATGAAACCCCATAAGAATAAAACATTCTTGGCTTTTGTTCTTTGTAATAATGTTGGTATTTATCATTTTATTTAATATATTGTGTACATTTTGATGTATAATAATGCAGCCAGGTAAGATAATTTATGTACCATACGTTTTATTAAAAAGAATAAAATAGGCGTATAATGTTTGATATTTTTTAACCCCATCTAAGTAGTTTTGATAATTTAATTAAATATTTTGGAGTGGTACATATCTATACTCATTTAGTACCTAATTAAAAATGAATAAAAGAATAATTATTTAGTTATCATGTATTTAAAAAAATAATAATATTACGTATGTAATACACTGATAGAAATTTGTACGTATTAATCTATAGTAAATAATAGATTATCAGACCAATTATTAACTATGGACTATGAATAAAATGTTTAAAAAATAATTAAATAAATAGTAATTGTATGTATAAAATATATATTTAAAATTTAACTATAATTTTTTAATGAAAATTGTAACTTCTAGTGTTGAATAATCGGAGTTAAGTTATAATTATTATTTGAAATAATAAAATACCTAGTTAAGTTACCTAGTTTGTATTTAAATAAAGTACGTAACTAGTTATACTTTAAACAGTGAGTCTTTTATATGATTCGATATAATATGTAATTAATTTAGTTTACAAAAACAATATATTATATTATATACTACACACAATATTCCTAGAAGTTATTATATTAGGTATACAAAATGTTATGTTTAGTTTTTGCTTATTTTATTGTAATAGTCTTAATTTAAATTATAATGATTTTATTGAAACTTTTAACCACACTTTACATTTTTTTGTAACAATTCATTTTTATAGTTTGCTGGTTATAATTTTTAATTAACTTTTTGGTAACTATACAAAAATATACCAAGTACTTTAACGGTAAACGCGTAGAAGCTGCATGTAATACTTTACTAAATTTACTTAAACATAAAACGACAGATTTGTTAATAAGAAATAATTAATTTTTTATTCCATTTAGTCAAAAGTATTGAAAAATTATTTCTATACCAAACATTAATTATAGTATTCTATGTGTTTTTTAGCTAAGGTTACTAAATTTGGAGCTTATGTGTATGAAGATGGCTCAAAATACATAGGAGACTGGAACGATCGAGGTCGAAAACATGGATTGGGTCACGTCCAATTAAAAGACAATACACGTTATGAAGGAGGATTCAGCAATGGACTTTGTTCGGGTCTTGGAGTTCTCCAGTATCCGGATGGAGCGAGGTAGATACTTAAAAAAATAAATGTGCATAGTAATAAGCAATTATTGTATTATTCAAATAAAACGTTTTTGGATAATAATTTATTCATGCTTTTTTTGTTTGTATTAACGCAATATTGCAGATATGAAGGAGAATTTATGGAAGGATGGTTTCATGGTCACGGAATGTTTTGGAGGGCTGATGGCATGAAGTACGAAGGCCAATTTCGAGGTGGTCGTATTTGGGGACTAGGTAATATAGTATGCAGTGCTTAAATTTAAATAAAACCTGTTAAAAATGGAGTTAAAATATAATATATTCTTTGTGTATAAATATGAGTATATATACCTATTATTTGTATGTAACTATGTAGGTAGGTTATGTGTGCAGTATGCATATATACGTTTGTATATTATATATAATTTTAATATATACGTAGGTACTGATATACTGTCGTATTTGTATGGTATATTAAATCAAATAATGTGATAAAAATATCGGTCAATATAATACTTAATATGATTTATAATACTTTATAGGTTTAATAACTTTTAAGGATGGATCTCACGGACTTCCGAGACACGAAGGATTTTTCAAAGATTGCAAATTTGTACAAAAGAAAAAATGTCCGAGGGTCGTTGTAGATGCACAACGAGCAGCATTGATGGCAAGAATACAAACCGAACAAACATAATTTTCTAATAAATTTTTCTGTGTATAGTGTAAACTATAAAGAATAATTAAAAAAAAAATAAATAGATCTTGCAAAATATTTAAATTAAAAAATAATAATAATAATAATTCTTGTTTATAATAATTTATAATAAATAAATAAATAAATAATTTAAATTAGTTAAGTTTAGTATAGTATCTTCTAGAATTTGGATTTTTTTTTTCTAATGTTGAACTATTTTTTAATTCTTGCTTGATAGTTATGATGTTAAAACGACGCTACATACACATGTGTTGTATATGTCTTACAAACAATACAACATAATAAGTTTTACGTTCACAATAATCCATTTTACTTTTATTTTAAAAATATAGTGAACTGACTAAAAATGCTTTTAATGATATTTTAATTACAAAGTAAGTTATAAGTATTTTAAAACTGTAACTTTTTTGTAAAGTTTTAAATGATTATTAATAGGTAGTTTTAAAAATTAAATATTGATAAAGCTTTTTTTAATTAATTACAATTATTTTTTTTTAATTGAGGAAAGTGGATTGTTATGAATATAAAATTTGTTTACTTTTACATTTGTAAGGTGGAGATTGCATTCTCTTAAGCATACAAATTTAATTATTCTAATAATTTATAGAATTCTACACATACACATACGGTGGCGTAGTTAGAATTTTTGAATGGGGGAGGAGGGTTAAGGTTTATGTATATACCTGGGACAACTCAAAATTGTAGCGGGCCAGAACATAGAAAGCAAAAAAAAAAAAGTCATTCAAAATATGCATTTTAACTAGAAATATTTTGTTTATAATTTAAAAGTATTTGAACTCCATTAGTCATTACATTAATCACAGTCTTCTTGTTTTGATCGCTAATTTACTAAACTATTAAAAATATTAAAATAATTAAATAAAAATCAATAGGGGGGTTATAACACCCAACCCCCCTTGGTTATGCCACTGTATACACACACATGTTTATTACATACGGGTAAAATACGTAGTATTATAAATTAAAATAAAAGTCTGCATGTATAAATAAGTGGAAAAATAGGAGATAATTGTCAACTGTAATTACACCTGCTGATTGATTTATTTCTAATTTAATATATATGTATTTTTTTTAGTTTGAGTATATTTAATCGTGTAATTGAAAAAATTAATATATCATTAACATATAGTGTTGTCCAATAGTTATCGTGTGTTTTGTAAATTAAATAAGTAGGTACAGCATTCAACATTTTGTTTACATATTATTATAAAAATAATGATAATAAGTTTATTTTAATTTTTATTAAATTATGCTTATTCTATAATACTATATGGTATAGAGGTATTTATATTATTATAAAAATTATATTTAAATCATAAATATAATACAATATTCTGTTACACTGGGAAGGAAGTTATATGTATTTTGGATCGTACGTTTCTAACCTAGTGAACTTGACCTTGCACTACTACAACCTGTGATAAATAAAGTATATACTCGCATACCTATGTATGTATGTATGTATGTGCTAATAAATAATATTTACATAATATTATATAAATATAAAAACATATATACCAATAATGTAAACATATCATTTTGAATTGATGCCACTTAATAGTATTTTAATTAGAATTATTTCATTTACGTATATTAATATTTATGAAAATGATATATTAATTATTACATTAATGAACGGTAATAAACTAAAATTTATATTTATTAAATACCTTTTCTAAAATTCTAGTAATTTAATATATTTTTTCTCGATTTAAGAAGTTCATTTTAAGAAATACATTTTGTAAAATATTAATTTTGCCCTTTTATTATATTAAATTATACAACTTTAATTTCAATAAACAAATAAATAAAAATGTAATAAAAATAAAACTTTCAAATTATGCAATTATCTATAATTGATTGTAAATTTGCCTTTAGAGATAAGGGGAGAAGGAAAATATTTTACAAGAAAATAGGAGAAAAATACAATCTCTCAAAAGTAAATAATAAATAATAAAAGTTCATATTAAAAAAGGCAGTATAATGGGTACTGTTTTGCTATACAGTAGATTCGACTATGGTCACTGTGGTTGATGTGTCAAATTTGAATTTAATCATATCATACATATTACATTACCTATATAATATGAAAAACGATTTCGTGCGGATACAGTTTATTAGCCTATGTTATTGTATTGGTATTGCTATTATGATAAGTAATTTATTTAACTATAAGTAATACGGTAGGTTAAATTAATCTTTTCTAAAAATTATGCTTGAAAATTTCATTATGTGTATAAAATAAAGTAGTATACGTAAAAGTTTTATGTTTCCACGAATTTTTATGAATTACAATAAAATATTGAACATAATTATTCACAGCTCAAGCATGTCATTTTATTGAAATTTGAATTTAAAATGTTTGTAAAATAAAATAGGCTTTTAAACGAACAAAAAAAATTTAATTTTAAAATAATTTTTATTTGTTCAATTTTTATATTACGCAAAATGGATAAAAATTTGTGTTAAGAAGTAAATTAAACAAATCTATTCAAATTTGAGTTGACAATTAATTATATTACTTTTTCAATATCAATGGACTGATGTAGGTAATTAGGATTACTTAAAAATCCGAGTTAGAAAACTTAAAATAAACAAAAATGAGTTTAAAGTTTAAACACACAAAATTAACGTATTACTAATAAAAATGATCTTAAAAATGCAATAAAATGCATTTAACACAAAAAAATTCAAAAATGCAAAATTAAAATTACACGTTCTTAATTATTATATAACGAAAAAATTACTCAGGTACTTAGTAATAAAAACTGAAATACAGTCTTCGCTCTGAATTGTTTTTTTTGTATGTGAAATTCAAGTTCAATATATACCTACGTCCTAAATTACTGAGGCATATTATTCCTCAATGACGAGTTTCTCTTGACACCTAATGATTTTAATAGTATTAATGTATATTATATCAATAAATAATATAAATTAATAGAGTTTTTAAAATTAACATCTAGTTTTATTTTTTACATTTAATATATTTAATTTAAATGTCCGTATAAATTGTATAGGATTAGGACGTAGGCATAGATATACTTACTAAATTATTTGTATATACCTATCTAATGCTATAATAGTTAAGGGGTGTCCAATGTCCATCATGTATATAGTCATGCGTTTGTCCTCGTACGAAGATACATTACCGCCCACCGACTATAATTATGTATATTTCCTACTCTGGTATCTCTCTTGGCTCATGCAAACTAAACTTTAAAACAGTATACATAGCTATTTTACTAGAAATATTCAGTGGAAATTGATGATGAGTCATGTTTTAAACTATACCCTCATAAAATGATGCCATTCTTAGATTTTTACGTAACACAAAAATACATCATAAAATACATATTATGGGATTATAGGTCATTTTAAATAAATTTTTTTAAATTATAAAAAAGTTTCTCTTTATATAAAGCATAATTAAAAAAAGTTATTAATATTATGCAGATACATTAATATTGTAAGACAACATACATAGATATTAGGTAGGTAGGAATAGTATTAATATTATATGAATATAATATGGGTAATTTTTTGCTTGATTTAAAACTCTAAGCCATATTAGTTGATTGAAATCATAATTATAATTTCTGTATTTCAAATTATTCAAGTAGGTACTTTTATAATTTATGTTGATAGTTAGAAAACAAAAACATATATATTTATAAAATTTTATTTATTATTTTTATTATCTGCCATGTTGGCAAAATTCTAAAATAAAATTTAAGTTGTCTAGAAAATTCCTAAAAATAAGTTGAAAATTCTGAGTGTTAAATTGTATGTTGTTTGAATTAGTAATTTGTTTAATGTATTTAAGAAACAAATACTAGTTTCTATATTTTATACATTTATCATAGTTATAGAAGTAGATAACATTTACTATTGTAATTATTTATAATATTCAGAATGAATTTAAAATGAGTAGTACACTATAAACAATTTAATAAAAATTATAAAATTCTAACTGCAATTTTACTTAACACATTTTTAATTTATAATTTATATTAAAAAAAATTGAAAAGGTGATTATTATTTATAAATACATAATACATACCTCTATTATCGTACAAATACAAATTATAAAATTAGAAGTTTATCCATTATACAATAAAAATATGATACAAGTCATACGTATTTTATGCATATTTTATGATCAATAAATTATTTGCTCGTTGTGTTTACGTTCATGTAATACAAAATACATACTTATATTAACGATATTTTTATACTTAGCATTATATAAATGGAATAGAATATAGATTATAAGGAAAATGATCGTATAAAATGTATAAACACGTAACATAATATTTTCAATAATATACTTTCATGCTTAATTATTTAAACAAATATTGTTAAGTATCGCCTTGATAATGATTTAAAAACATGCGCCAACAGACATGTATATATATATATATTAAAGTTGAATAGTTCTGTAATATCTACTGCTAGATATTGCTGTATAACTAATCTAGTTATTTAATAATTATTAAAATGTATTTAATTATATTATAATATGATAAATTATATCAACGGGAACTTGATAATATTGAAAACTTGTTACCTAACAATGAGTTCAAAACACGCTACCGATTTCATCAAATAAAAACAGTTCATAATATATTAAGTATTAACTGTATGAAAATTGAACGCTAAATATATTGTAGTTGTTTTTTTTATACCAGAAATGCGTAGATATTATCTATATTTAATTTTTTTCTTTTTTTTTGAAAACATTATCTTCACAATTACAATATTGTTTCCATTTGAATCGCATCAATACTGATTAATTAATAATAATTAAATAAATAACAATACTTAAGTCCATTTTAAAAATAACAATTCCTATCAATACTATTATATATAAGTACATAATGTGTTGCAATTATTTATATACTGCGGCTTAAATATACACGTCATCATAAGTATCGGCATATACTGAAGTTGAAATGTACGTTACGCATATACAAGCACGTCGACGCACACACAATGTAATATATATAATATGTTATATATCC